TTGAAAGCTGGCTCACTCAGTTTAGCTCAACGCTGATTGGCTATTATTTCATAAAAACATTTAGCAAGGGAAGCAAAATGCTCGCTGGCTTACCTTGCATTCAATGCTATGGATGGCAACAATGTCATACTCTTTTTGACCAGACAGCATCAGATAGATATGCTACACATACTGAGACAGAGGGGAGCTGTTTCGTTTGCTCGGATGCTTTCTCCGGTGAGATACATTCAGCCTCTTGCAAATTGTAGGACATTTATGAAACACAGAGAGACAAAATATACATTATTTTGTATGGTTTTTTTCTTAGTAAATTTTTTGGGGAAGCCCTTGGCATCCATGAATACACACCACTGGCTAGCCCCCCTTCGCCAAGCAGGAGTCAGGGTCCTGAACTACTTAGAGGATTGGCTAATATGTGCTGGTACAACATACACAATCTATGTCCCAGAAGAGACTAACACAAAAAGCTGACAATTTCAATGAGTTGCTGGAGATGGTGGTACCTAGCACTTCAACCCCCAAATGGAGTTCTCCTAGGTACAGTTCACAACCAGGTGACATTGACCACAGACACCTCCCTATAGGGATGGGGAGCAGTCTTGAACCAGTCAGGGGTCCATGGTGTTTGGTCAGCACCATGGACAACAGCTCACATCAACGTACTGGAGCTCAAGGCGGTTCACCTTGCACTCCGGCACTTCCTCCCAGTACTGAGAGAACAACATGTACTGATACGGACAGACAACACACATCAACCCCCAGGGCGGACTGAGGTCAATGGCACTGCACCAGGGAGCAAGGGAACTACTGCTTTGGGCAAACAGACACCTTACATCCCTCAGAGCAATACACCTGCCGGGGGTGGAGAATCAGGCAGCAGACCTTCTCTCTAGAGGAGGCCCTCTTCCTTCAGACTGGAGGATACATCCCACAGTAGTGTAGATGATCTGGGCACGATTCGGAAGGGCCATCGCCGATCTGTGTGCATCACAAGACTCAACCCATTGTCCTATGTAGTTCTCCATAAAGGGTCCAGCAGGCCCACTAGGGGTTGATGCGCTATCACACAGATGGCCAAGGGGGCTGCTGTATGCGTTTTCACCAATTCCCTTGCTCCCTCAGGTCTTGAGGAAGATCAGTCTCGAGAGCGCGTCAGTTCTACTTGTTGCTCCACATTGGCCACAGCATCCCTGGTTATCAGACCTTGTACCACTGACAACCTCCCAAGGCTCCTTCAATACCCTCATGAGAGTTAAATGTTGTCCTACAATCACTTATGAGTCCACCGTTTGAGCCTGTCTTCAATTGAGCTAATTAAACTCTCAGTCAAGACTGCCTTTCTATTGGCTAGTGTTTCAGCCAAGCCTGTTGGAGAATTACATTAACTTTCTACCTATCCTTCATGCCTCCCTTTAGCAGAAGATGGATCTAAGGCAGTGCTTCGGCCAAATCTAATTACCTAAGGTACTTTCATCATCACATGCTAGCCAGCCCTTAATCATAGCAGCATTTCACCCGCCTCCCCATTCCTCACAGGAGAGTCATGAGTTGCATACACTTTGCCCGGTTAGGGCATTGAGTGCTTATTTTGCTGCAACAAGAACTGTTCGTCAAACAGAACAGCCTTTTGTGTGTTATGAGGAGAACACCAAAGAACGCGCTGTCTCGAAGCAGAGACTGGCACATTGAATTACCAATGCAGTGTCAGAATCATAAGCTGCAGCAGGTAGACCAACTCCAGACAGCGTGATAGCACACTCCACCAGGGGCATGGCCACTTCATGGGCCCTGTTCAGAGGGGCCTCCCTGGACTCTATCTGTGCTGCTGTAAGTTGGACAACACCCATGACTTTCATGAGGTACTACAGACTCAATGTAATGTCCGCACCATCAGTGGGGTCTGTGGTTCTGGACACGTCACGCTCTCTCAACCCAGATAAGTGAGCGTACCATGAACCTTGTACATACTTATTTATCAATCATCAGTGAGATGGATGTTCTATACAGAGGCCTTCCACTCTTGCACAGAGCCCTGACCTCAACCCCATCGAACACCTTTGGAATGAATTGCAATGCCGACTGCGGGCCTAGTTGCCCGACATCAGTGCCCGACCTCACTAATGCTCTTGTGGCTGAATGGAAGCAAGTCCCCGCAGCAATGTTCCAGCATCTAGTGGAAAGCCTTACCAGAAGAGTGGAGGCTGTTATTGCAGCAAAGGGGGGCCCAACTCCATATTAATGCCCATGATTTTGGAATGAGATGTTTGACAAGCAGGTGTCCACACATTTTGGTCTTGTAGTGTATCTGTGACCAACAGATGCATATCTGTATTCCCAGTCATGTGAAATCCATAGATTAGTGCCTAATGAATTTATTTAAAGTGACTGATTTCCTTATATGAACTGTAACTCAGTAAAATGTTTGAAATTGTTGCATGTTGCGTTTATATTTTTGTTCGGTATAGTAATAAGGAAAATCTTTATCAAAATCTCTCAAATACAACTAAATGAATGGTGTTCCCTGCTTAAATAAAGGTTAAATAAAATTGGCTGTTCCATAAGGTGTATTTTTACCAGTTTTTTAAAAATCTGATTCTACTGCTTGCATCAGTTACCTGATGTGGAATAGAGTTCCATGTAGTCATGGCTCTATGTAGTACTGTGCGCCTCCCATAGTCTGTTCTGGACTTGGGGATTGTGAAGAGACCTCTGGTGGCATGTCTTGTGGGGTATGCATGGGTGTCCGAGCTGTGGGCTAGTAGTTTAAACAGACAGCTCGGTACATTCAGATTGTCAATCCAGGGTTACTCCAAGCAGTTTAGTCACCTCAACTTGCTCAATTTCCACATTATTCATTACGAGATTTAGTTGAGGTTTAGGGTTTAGTGAATGATTTGTCCCAAATACAATGCTTTTAGTTTTGGAAATATTTAGGACTATCTTATTCCTTGCCACCCATTCTGAAACTAACTGCAGCTCTTTGTTAAGTGTTGCATTCTTTTCAGTTGCTGTAGTAGCTGACGTGTATAGTGTTGAGTCATCTGCGTACATAGACACACTGGCTTTACTCAAAGCCAGTGGCATGTCGTTAGTAAGGATTGAAAAAAGTAAGGGGCCTAAACAGCTACCCTGGGGAATTCCTGATTCTACCGGGATTATGTTGGAGAGGCTTCCATTAAAGAACACCCTCTGTGTTCTGTTAGACAAGTAACTCTTTATCCACAATATAGCAGGGGGTGTAAAGCCATAACACATATGTTTTCCCAGCAGGGGGATGCAAATAGTCTGGGTAGCCATTCGATTAGATGTTCAGGAGTCTTATGGCTTGGGGGTAGAAGCTGTTTAGAAGCCTCTTGGACCTAGACTTGGCAATCCAGTACTGCTTGCCGTGTGGTAGCAGAGAGAACAGTATATGACTAGGGTGACTGGAGTCTTTGACAATTTTTAGGGCCTTCCTCTGACACCGCCTGGTGTAGAGGTCCTGGATAGCAGGAAGCTTGGCCCCAGTGATGTACTGGGCTGTACGCACTACCCTCTGTAGTGCCTTGCGGTCGGAGGCCGAGCAGTTGCCATACCAGGCAGTGATGCAACCAGTCAGGATGCTCTCGATGGTGCAGCTGTAGAATTTTTGAGGATCTGAGGAACCATGCCAAATCTTTTCAGTCTCCTTAGGGGGAATAGGTTTTGTCATGCCCTCTTCACGACTGTCTTGGTGTGCTTGGACCATGTTAGTTTGTTGGTGATGTGGACACCAAGGAACTTGAAGCTCTCAACCTGCTCCACTACAGCCCTGTCAATGAGAATGGGGGCGTGCTCGGTCCTCTTCTTTTTCCTGTAGTCCACAATCATCTCCTTTGTCTTGATCACGTTGAGGGAGAGGTTGTTGTCCTGGCAACACACGGCCAGGTCTCTGACCTCCTTCCTATAGGCTGTCTCGTCGTTGTCTGTGATCAGGCCTACCACTGTTGTGTCATCGGCAAACTTAATAATGGTGTTGGAGTCGTGCCTGGCCATGCTGTGCTTGTTGAATGTCCTTCCTTATATAGACACATCCTACAAGGTTGGGGGACAGTGAAGTACTACAAAGAAGATGCCATTTAAGATTTGTGGTCATGCCTGTTTGAGGGATAAGAAGAAGTGCTCAGCAGATTCTCATGTTTATATTTGTAGGCTCTGTAACGAACAAGGACCTAGTCCTAGATGTGTATCCAGAGGTTGGATCGACACCCATGTTAAGTCATGAGACGAATGAAAATCATTCCAAAATTCTCAGCAGGACCAAGCCTCGAGTGCCTCGTGGACCCAAGCGCGCAAGTACAGGACATTATGGGAAAACCATTCTACCAAAAATGCCCAAACGACAAATGAGGTGAAGGGATTTTACTTTTTATGAGTCAGATGTCAAAAACTGTACCTGTCTCTTAATTTTTTTTGCCTGTGGTTAATCCTACAGGACATCACCAGTTTCCTCTGTGTCAAAAGACAGGAAATAAATAAAAAACAGAAGACAAAAGTCTCCCAACCCCCCTCCCCCCAAAGAAAGAGGTATGTTTAAAAGCGCTCAGGGCAGTTATTGAAGCTTTAGTATTGCACAATTTTTTGTTATAACCTAAAATATTTCATGCTGGTGCCTTTGTCATCAGGGTTCAACAAGTGGTTAGATGACCTGGAGTTAGAGGAGATGGCTGAAGACTCTGAGTGAATGCATGAGCTCACTGTTTATGGGAGAGGAAGACGACTTATTCTCTAACTTATCGGATATATGTCAGCAACGCTCATTTGTTGTCACAGTGTATAGGTGTTAGTCTTACAATTTAATAACAACAAGTGGCTGAAAGTGAAATAGGATTTTTATTGTGGGGGAAATGAGTGAGAAGGCCCACTACACGAAAATAAAGGCAATGGAGTTACACGTACTTACAGGACATTTTACATGACAATACGTAAAATAAAAAAAGTGGCACCAAATATTTATTTTAATGACATTATGCAAACTCATGTGACCTTATTGCATTCTCTACAGACACCAGATGGTGGGTCGAACACAAGCAAATGCTGATGAAATATAAACGATATTATACATTTCCTTGTGAGCAAACAGTTATGGTACAGCATTAGCATTGTGGTGACCAGTGCTTGACTTGGACTGAAATAGGTTCCAGTACTCATTTTGGGTGCTGGTACTGTTTATATTTAGGTGCAGTAGCTCCACAATACTTTGGAGCTAATATTCTATAAGAGGAACAGGAGCTCAAGTAGCAGAACATTTGAGGTGCCGGTACTCAGCTCCGGTGAGCTCCTGCCCAAGTCAAGCACTGGTGGTGACGTAGTTGGAGCTGCAGGTAGAAAGGAATTAAATGATACACCTGGTGAATGACAGAAACCCCTACTTCAGCCCTGGTTTTAGGATTTCTTGTACTCAATCCTCTCCACTTTGACATCATCTCCGATGAGCTGGTAGACGTACGTCACCACTGTGGATGCTTGGATGTCCATCAATACAAAGGATGGGATGATGTTGCTGAGGAGAAACCAAACAAAAGAGAGGAATGCTTATCAGTAAAATGCTAGCAGTTAGCAACTTACCAAGTCACCTGCTAAATGACCCAATAAATATGTGAACAGCTTAATCTGTAAAAATGTCGCCATTACCTTTCCAGTGCGTTGTAGGCTCCAGTTGCTGAGCCGGGGTTGATGTAGAACTTGTTCTCGTTTTCGAAGGCCTCAAACTTGTGCGTGTGTCCAGAGATGAGGATGTCGACGTCAAGCTGCCTCTGCAGCAGGGCCAGGCTTGCCATGTCCCCCCAGGGGATCACCTGGTGCCCATGGATCAGGCCAATCTTAAACTGACCCACCGTTACCACCTTCTGCTCAGGGTAGTTCAGGTTCTGTAGGGCAGAGAAGGCAGAAAACACACTACAGTTCATCCACTGTTCTAACCCATTAAAGGATTACCTATACGTTTAAAGATAATGAATCATGTAATAAAGCAGAAGGGAAGCAGATATAAAAACCTCATCAAAATCTCCCCTGACGATGTGTACATCCCCAGCCAGGGTCTTCAGGTAGTCATAGCTCTCCTTGGTGCAAAGGTTGCCTGTACAGAGGATGTGCTGGATTTTGCCTGGCACCAGCAGCTTCTTGAACTTGGCTGGTAGGGTGTTGCATCGGTGGGGGATGTGCAGGTCACCTAACACCAGGACCAACTGGCATCAAACAGTGGATGGAGAGTTATGTTAGCAACAGTTACAGGAGGGGGCTCAGTCATACTTACGAAATGTAGGCTGTCAATTAGGAGGGTGTCATCAAGTTGGGAGTCTATACCATTTCAGCTCATTCAACTCAGGAAAATAATTGAAATTCAACATGTGACTTGCACATTTTCAACAAGTCTGTTGTATTGAATTTCAATTCATCGTAAAAAATACCACAACATTGGTCGTTGAGTTGGATGATCACTTTTTTATTTATTTTTATTTTACTATAGTTGTATGTTCTCTTAAGTATATCAATACTCTATGGTAATTAGCACTGGAAGAGAAGATTGTGTTTTGCCAATTTGGTCAAGGACTAAAGCTTCTTGTCCACTTCTGGAGAATTAGGCTATCCCCACGTATAGATCAGTTTGTCTGACCCGCAACTAATCAAAATAAGCCTTGTTTCAGACAAACAAGAAAAGTTTATTGAATTTTCCACACCACAATCAGACATCAGAAAAGTAATCCTACGTCACAAGGGTCAGTGCATCCAAAGTCCATGATCACAGACTGTAGCTAGGTTTCATTCCAATTGTTGAAATTGTACCGAAATGTCCTGTTTTCATCACAGCTGTCGTGATTTTAAAAAAAAAATACAGTATGACTTTACACACATAAAAACTGAATGGAAACGTGGTTACTAGCTAGGTTTCCATCCAATTGGCGACAGATTTTCACGCGAATATTCTAAAATCCACATAAAGAAAATAATGCTAATTTTTCCACCAGTGGTGTGTTTCCAACAAACAGATTTGTTGCGGATCAAATTCAGTGTGATGACGTAGTGCACACAAATTGCACTTTTTCGCTAAAGTTTTAATGTACCGAATAAAATGTACAGATTGTTTTGTCACAAAAACTGTTGTGTTAAATAGCAAAAGTGCCTCCTCTGGTTTTAGCACATGCGCTCTAGCCAACAGCTCGCAGATACAGTGTGGGTAGGATAGCCTACATGATGACATTATTATGTAGGCTATTATTAAGGAGCATCAAGCTCATCACTGTGCACTTTCACCACCCTGTGAAGTTCATGATCATTTATTTTAATCTGTAGCCTAATAAACTGCATGGTTTCCCAAGTCGTGGTGGGAGGACCACACCATATCATCGCGTGACTCCAAGTTTACTTCGATATGATGGATTCCAACACCATTTCTTGCATTCATTAATTTTACTGACACAAAAAGTTCCCACCATGTCATATGAACAAATTATCTGTCGGCATTTATAAAATTGTACTGCAACTTCCTGTTTCCATCGCATCTGTTGTGATTTTTTAATAGAGTACCACAGTAGGAGTCATAATACCCATAAAACCTAGCGGTCAAACAGGGAAATGCTTCCAAACGTTTTTCCACTATTCATTTTTCCCCATAGGGGATTTTAGAAACACTCAAAATAAGGGATGTGTTTCATGTAGGCTTACCCTGGCATGACATTCTGATAACCATGTGCATTTCTCTAGGACAAGGTGATTTATCATTATATTCGCCTGTAGTTATATATTAGCAACTCAATATTAGGAAGGTGTACTTAATGTTTTGTACACTCAGTACAAATAGGCGTAATCTAGAGCCAAGCGTGTTCATTTTTAATCCGAGGGTATCCTGCTATTGACACACTTGTTGAATTATGCAACAGAACGTGACAACAACATTAATTAATTAATGAGGCAGTCTAGACAGCACAGGTGAGTGCAGGTAGGCCTAGACAGAGCAAGTTGTTTGTTGGTAGAGCATGGCGCTTGCAACGCCAGGGTTGTGGGTTCGATTCCCACGGGGGGCCAGTATGAAAAATATATGCACTCACTAACTGTAAGTCGCTCTGGATAAGAGTGTCTGCTAAATGACTAAAAATGTAAATGTAAAATGTTTCAGCACTGTCCCACTACTTTGTTAATTTGTTAATATATGCACATACACCCAGTGTCTTTATGCAAATGAGGCAGATCTAATTTTCTTTATTTTAACACAAAACATTTTTTTATTACCTAATACCATTAAACAATTTATATTTGAGTGCATTCTATGAATAAAAAAAGTGAAATCTGACAATCCCTCTGAACGCCATTCATTATTTGTCCGTGCCAGTAGAACTGTAGTGTGCTATAATTGTCAATATCTGATGGATTTTAAAAATTCTAAACGTTTGTAGTATCTTTATAATTTGTCCATCTGTTGCATTTATTAGAATTGTTTTAAAACCTTTAACAATTTTGATGACAGTTGCTACTTTACTTGCATAAAAACTGTGGATGGAAACGTGGTTACTGATAAAAAAACATAGAATTGCTCAATATCCTCACCTGAATGCATGGCAGCATTCTATGTGTGTGTTAGTGTGGATGAATGCAGTAAATTAAGATGCATTTGCTATTAGGGCATCATTATAAGACTAACCTGCAGAGCATAGTGAGGTGTGGAGTGTTTATTATCACAGGCACCCCCCATTAGTCTGCAAAACAAGCCTCCAGAACAGGTAGAACAGGCAGAGGACAAGGTCCAACACAGAGAGCGGTGCACTTACCCGGTGACCAGCCTGAATACAACGCAGAGGTTCATTGGAGACAGGGAGTGGTGGGCAGGGAGTGGTGGGAGGGTGGGCAGGGAGTGGTGGGCAGGGAGTGGTGGGAGGGTGGGCAGGGAGTGGTGGGTGTAAGGGGTGGGAAGCAGGATGTGTGTAGAGAGATTGACATGAAACATGGTCAAAGATTGGAAAGTAATAAAAAGAGTTAAAACTGAAATTATAAATTTAAAGTGGATGAATAAAGTAATGAAACATTCCAAACAAATAAGAAGTGTTAGCAAGGTGACAATAGTAAATAGCCTTAATTGTTAGTGGGTTGCAGGTTATATCAAAACTAAAGAGTGTGAGTGATGAAGAAGTGCCCCTACCTAGCACTAACGTTAGATTGGTGCACTTACACAAAATGTCAACAAAGGTCCATAAAGTTTAAATCTACATAAAATACAAAAAATCTAATTACTGAATTTATATACGTAGATAGCTGCAATGTGTAAAGCTTGAGAAAGGACGTGGTGTGGTAGCTAAACAACCTGCTACCTAGCATTGCTGACTAGTTAGCTACTTACTGTGTCTGTAGCTTGCTAACAATTTCAGATGGAAATGAACTACCGTTAGCTAGCTACTCGAGCAAGCTCAATCTCATCACACAGATCGCAAAAATGAACAAATAATGACAAACTTAAAGTACAACCGAATACACATGGAAAGTGTGTTATGAGGTACGTTGCTTATTCAGATCAACCTTTTCTGCTGTCATGTGATCGTTTATCCATCTCGAGCTAGCTAGCAGACCAACAGGCTTTATATACCGGGATCTAGAGGTAGATTGTACGCTAACAAGGAAACTAGTGCCTCCGTCTACATACAAGCAAAGTTCACGAAACACAAATAAGTCTAGAAATCTTATATTTTCTGTCTTTTCAGACTTACCATCTTCTATTTTGCTGGATCTGCTAGGCTTCAGGAGGCAGCTACGCACGAAAACGTGATGACGCAGGCAGTGACGGAGTCATGCAATCAGCCAATGAATGCCGAGCAATCCTACGGATTCCAATGTAGGACACGCTCACATGTAAGCGAAGTGGAATCTAGCTCTTAAACTCTAGGCGACATTCTACCTTCTCTAGTGTCAAGCGTTTATCTTTACCCACGACTTGCTCATGTGAGCTACAATCCCGACGCTGTGTTTTAACATTGAGAAACGTCAATAATCATCGCATGCAATACGGCTTTCGAAACATATGGAGCTTATCCTTCAACAGCGAGAAAGAATCCTTTAAATAAAAAAAATATACACTTACTGTAGCTGTTTTGCACAGATCCATACAGCTATGGGTGCCTTCCTCCTCCGGTACACTAACGCTAATTCTGTAAAAGTGTAACCTTTTTTTTTTTTTAAATTATTATTATTTCTCACTGATATGAAATATGTTTCCATTTCTGAGCAACTTCATTGCCTTATTTTTATATCTCAATGCCCCAATTCGAATGCATTATAAACATGGTGCATTGAGTTCTGAATGTAACTTTCAAGTGCAACTCCCTCCTGTCAAACTTTATATAACTTCGGTTTAAAATGGTTTTAAAAATGGTATCACCCCATGTCTAACAGAGATTGCACACTTGCATACCAGTGTCAACATCTACAAAACCTTGTAAATCTTATCTGACAATAAGCCTAAATTACAAACACAGCTCACATTAGTTTTCTAGAAAGGTTTATTGAAGTACAATGAATCCCAAACAGAAAACAAGAGAAAAATGTGGAGCTGAAATAAAAAGGGGTTATCGGAGAGAGGGAGTGAGGTCCAAAGAGCTAGGTGTATGAATGTCCTAGTGCTGGTTGTCTCTACTCTAGAGAGAAGTGCAGGCCCAGCACCCCCACCCCTCCAGAGCCCTGCAGTAGCTGGGTGGCAGGGTCAAACTCCAGCGGCACAGTCTTGCTCTGCTTTTGCTTCAGGTCCTGCTCCATCCGCTATGTGCACAGACATGGAAACACATTCCATCAATAACATGGCGACAAACACCAATATAAACATACATTTCTGATGTCATCCTCCTGCTGTGACAGGGGCTTGTTGATCGCCATGGCAGCCTTGGCCACATCAGGGTGGTAATGCTTCTGAAGAGTCTATACTCAGGAGGAGAGCAAGAGTAAAAAGTTAAGAGCCCTGAGTGAGATTGGTTGTGTTCATCTCTATGGATCATGTGTGTTTCTCTGGAGAGCCCTACACACCTGTAGCTCCCACAGGCTGCTCTCCAGGGCATGGCACTGGGTGGTGTCCTCCTCCTCCATCAGGTAGGGGTCATCACAGGCTTCTGTCCAAACACATGAATGACAAGCAATGTCAAACAATCTGCTATCTATTGGAAAGCCCTTTGAGACCTTGCCTAAATGTTAACCCACCACAACATTAAAATCATTATCCATTCATTCATTCCCATCTCCAGACAGGTGAGTGTATGGGGTGAAATGGGGACACCCTACCGTCTGCTGCACTGGGGCGGTGAACGAGGACTCGGCAGGCAGGATGACGGCGGATCAGGTTGCAGATGAAGGGTACTACCATGAGCACGGCAGCAGGTGGCGCCGTGAGGGCCAGGCGGACAGACGCTTAGCAAACGCTGCCACCAAGTAGACTGGCAGGTGACTTAGAAAGACGAGACAATGGACAAAAGGTGTTGTTGACTGTTTTTTTTACAGCAAATGTGAGGATGAAATGCCAGTCATCGAGAGTGAATGGAGTGAGCATGAAGGAGAGGTCTTACGTGGAGGAGAGGAAGAGGTTAGCTAAGTGGAAGAAGCGCGCTCTGTACTTCACATGGAAAACAGAGGGCTCCAGCAGGCTGTACAACTTTTTGTAGAAATCGGGATAATCTCTGCAGACACACAGACACACACTTAGTCAGACGGTCATAACTAGAAAAAGTAGTCACTACAGCCTTGTGGGAAAATAACTCCAACTTGAACATATTCCATAACTAGGACCAGGTTCCTATGATATGGGTAATGTCTACCTGTTTTAATAGCTCTAATCCAATGCAAATATCTGTGCTGGAGGACATGGATCTAGGATCAGCTTTTCCAGGTTAAATCCAACCTAAACCTACAGAAGCTGAGGAAGGCAACTTTCCCTGGATCAGTACCTTATGCACTAAGAGTGAGGAATACTTACAGGTTGTGCTGATGGATGAGCACAAACAGGCCATTGAGGGCCAGCAGACTGATTGCCCCTCCTGTACAGACACAGAAAACACAATGTACCAGGAATTAACCAGATTGTCTTCTATAGAAGAGACTATAAAAGCAGATGATGGAAACCCAACTCACCAACATCATAGGCTGCAGTCAGGAAGTCGATCATCGGTGTGGGATTGCTTATGTTGGGCAGGATGGAGTCATGGAGGATCACCAGCACCTTCTTGTACATGCTGCTGGGCAACTACAGGAAGAGACAGACAGACATGAGAAGGAAAATTTAATTCTGGGTTGCAGACTCCAGTCGTGATCAAAGTCCAAACAAGGTGGTCTATACTTTATGTTAAAGTGGATCTTATACCTTATACTTCAGAAACCCAAGCCACAACCACTCAAAGGCACACTTGTGTTCCTGATGGGTAGAGGAGATGATCATTACATTCACACTTACACTACCGGTCAAAAGTATTAGAACACCTACTCATTCAAAGGGTTTTTCTTTATTATTATTTTTTTAATTTCTACATTGTATAATAATAGTGAAGACATCAAAACTATGAAATAACACATATGGAATCATGTAGTAACCAAAAAAGTGTTAAACAAATCAAAATGTATTTTATATTTGAGATTCTTCAAAAAGCCACCCTTTGCCTTGATGACAGCTTTGCACACTCTTGGCATTCTCTCAACCAGCTTCATGAGGTAGTCACCTGGAACGCATTTCAATTAACAGTTGTGCCTTCTTAACAGTTAATTTGTGGAATTTCTTTCCTTCTTAATGCGTTTGAGCCAAATCAGTTGTGTTGTGACAAGGTAGGGGGGGTATACAGAAGGTAACCCTATTTGGTAAAAGACCAAGTCCATATTATGGCAAGAACAGCTCAAATAGGCAAAGAGAAATGACAGTCCATCATTACTTTAAGACATGAAGGTCAGTCAATACGGAAACATTTCAAGAACTTTGAATGTTTCTTCAAGTGCAGTCGCAAAAACCATCAAGCGCTATGATGAAACTGGCTCTCATGAGGATCGCCACAGGAATGGAAGACCAGAGTTACCTCTGCTGCAGAGGATAAGTTATTTAGAGTTACCAGCCTCAGAAATTCCAGCCCAAATAAATGCTTCACAGAGTTCAAGTAACAGAAACATCTCAACATCAACTGTTCAGAGGAGACTGTGTGAATCAGGCCTTCATGGTCGATTTTGCTGCAAAGAAACCACTACTAAAGGACACCAATAAGAAGAAGAGACTTGCTTGGGCCAAGAAACACGAGCAATGGACATTAGACCAGTGGAAATTTGTCCTTTGGTCTGGAGTCCAAATTGGAGATTTTTGGTTCCAACCGCCGTTTCTTTGTGAGACACAGAGTAGGTGAACGGATGATCTCCGCATGTGTGGTTCCCACCGTGAAGCATGGAGGAGGTGGTGTGATGGTGCTTTGCTGGTGACACCGTCTGTGATTTATTTAAAATCCAAGGCACACTTAACCAGCATGGCTACCACAGCATTCTGCAGCGATACGCCATCCCATCTGGTTTGGGCTTAGTGGGACTATCATTTTTTTTCCAACAGGACAATGACCCAACACACCTCCAGGCTGTGTAAGGGCTATTTTACCAAGAAGGAGAGTGATGGAGTGCCGCATCAGATGACCTGGCCTCCACAATCCCCCGACCTCAACCAAATTGAGATGGTTTGGGATGAGTCAGACCGCAGAGTGAAGGAAAAGCAGCCAACAAGTGCTCAGCACATGTGGGAACTCCATCAAGACTGTTGGAAAAGCATTCCAGGTGAAGCTGGTTGAGAGAATGCCAAGAGTGTGCAAAGCTGTCATCAAGGCAAAGGGTGTATAAGAATCTCAGATATATTTTGATTTTTTAAACACTTTTTTGGTTACTACATGATTCCATGTGTTATTTCATAGTTTGTAGAATAATAGTGAAGACATCCAATGTAGAAAATAGTAAAAATAAAGAAAAACCCTTGAATGAGTAGGTGTTCTAAAACGTTTGACCTGTAGTGTATATCAATACAAAGACTTCTTATCATGAGAGACACAAAAATGCTGTTTCATGTAGTTGGTGGGAGACTTTGCTTACTTTTAGTTTGGCTGCTTTCCAGTCTTCATGTTTAGCTGTCGAATGTATCAAGGGGCAATAAATCACACAGTAAGTTAAGGTTGAGGCTACACGACTGAAGGTATCCGCCATGTTCCGCCCCCATCCAGTCCCCTGGAAGCCTCTTCCCCAGACCTAAAGAACATTTACATTTACGTCATTTAGCAGACGCTCTTATCCAGAGCGACTTACAAATTGGTTCATTCACCTTATAGCCAGTGGGATAACCACTTAAAACATTTTTTTGGGTGGGGTGGGGTAAGGGGGGGGGTTAGAAGGATTACTTAAAGGTGGTGAGTGACTCCGCTGTCCTGGCATCGTGAGGGAGCTTGTTCCACCATTGGGGTGCCAGAGCAGCGAACCGTTTTGACTGGGCTGAGCGGGAACTGTGCTTCAGCAGAGGTAGGGGAGCCAGCAGGCCAGAGGTGGATGAACGCAATGCCCTCGTTTGGGTGTAGGGACTGCTCAGAGCCTGAAGGTACGGAGGTGCCGTTCCCCTCACAGCTCCGTAGGCAAGCACCATGGTCTTGTAGCAGATGCGGGCTTCAACTGGAAGCCAGTGTAGTGTGCGGAGGAGCGGGGTGACGTGAGAGAACTTGGGAAGGTTGAACACCAGACGGGCTGCGGCATTCTGGATGCGTTGTAGGGGTTTAATGGCACAGGCAGGGAGCCCAGCCAACAGCGAGTTGCAGTAATCCAGACGGGAGATAACAAGTGCCTGGATTAGGACCTGTGCCGCTTCCTGTGTAAGGCAGGGTCGTACTCTCCGAATGTTGTAGAGCATGAACCTACAGGATCGGGTCACCGCCTTGATGTTAGCGGAGAACGACAGGGTGTTGTCCAGGGTCACGCCAAGGCTCTTCGCACTCTGGGAGGAGGACACAACGGAGTTGTCAACCGTGATGGCGAGATCATGGAACGGGCAGTCCTTCCCCGGGAGGAAGAGCAGCTCCGTCTTGCCAAGGTTCAGCTTGAGGTGGTGATCCGTCATCCATACTGATATGTCTGCCAGAGGCTGCCTGAGACCTGGAACTCCACGTGGGTGGTGCGTGCAGGGACCACCAGGTTAGAGAGGCAGCAGCCACGCGGTGTGAGGCGTTTGTATAGCCTGTGTGGAGAGGAGAGAACAGGGATAGGCAGAGGCATAGTTGACAGGCTGCAGAAAATGGCTACAATAATGCAAAGGAGATCGGAATGAAATGAACTAAACATCTGGGAAAGGAGAGAGCGGGGCCTCCCTCACCACAACACCCAAATATAACTCTCCCAACTTCCACCTCAGAACCGAATCACGGCAGGATTTCCGTTAGCCAGTATTAGCTTGCTTTAGACACAAATTTTTTTTTAAGCTGATTTTTAAAAATGAGCCAGCCAATTGTCCGGGGGGAAAAAACATCCCATTGCGAAATAATGCATTTTAGTCTATTCATTGATTGAAATGCCAGTCGATGTAGCGCGAGAGCTGCTGATACAGCTCAAACAGCTGGGTGTTGCTGCTGGAGTGAAACGTGCTTTAATAAGCCCAATCATTGCACAACAATTCTAAAGGCAATCGTGTGTGAAAAAATAAAAAAACTATGGCGACGATTAAAAAGAGCTACAATTTTTATTTCTCAACTGGTAATTGATGCTTGAGTGGTGTTTGACGCTTCACATTCGCCATTCAAGTGCACAGGCAACTGCCACGAAGATCCATCTGCTAGCCCCGGCCCGCTAGCACATGTAAACTACAACTGTGCTTCCTGCTAGCTGTGCTGAAGCACCAATTTGAACTGCTATCGGACTCATATTGCTGTTCACTGGACCTTATGATCACTCAGCTGCACAGCTGATGCCTGCTGGACTGTTCCTTTACACGGTACCCTGTCCTGTTTATTCTGTTTAGCCTCAGCCCAAACTTTATCTATATTACCAGTTGTTGTCTTAGCTCTCTCTAAAAACCGTGATTGCTTTAATGCCTCCTGCAATGTCAAATCCGTGCCTCTACTGTTGGTTAGTTCTTATATAACAATTTCACTTAGAACCCCAAGTCCACTCAAGGACTGCCTTAAATGGTTCCTTTGTTCCACCACACAAATCTCTGAGACGACTTTCAAATGGCCCCATAATGCCGGGGCTTCATCATTTACCCAAACGCTTAGGTCTACCTCCATGTTCAAATCCTGTCGTACATAATGCCCTGAATCTTTCTACCAACCCCGGATTTGCCCTTTAATTCTCTTTACCCAACGCATGAAACCATTCTTAAAGCTTGCCGTTCTATAATTCTAGTCCTCCTCGGTCTTGGTGATTAAAGAGCTAAATCCATGCCCTGCAGCCCCATTAGCTGATCACGCTCTACTCCAGGAGCTTATCACATTTGTGAACTTCGTAACCGAAGAGCCTCTGTTTCCTGCACGTAATATCAGAACCTCCTTCCTAAGTTTGAGTATTCATGCTGACTGCCAACCAGTTCTAGCAGTCTGAATCCTGCTTAGAAGGCCCATAATCTGAACTCCCAACATACATTTCCGCTTGCCAAGGGGTGGAGTGCATCTAAGAATGAGCTCTGGGATCACTAGGTCTGTGCCTAACATTGAGCCTACTCTAAAATTCCTTCAGGTCTCTACTGTTTCCGCTTGCTACAACCCCCTCAGACCCACTGTGCCTGACACATAGTGAATTGATTGCCCCCTCTATCTCAGATTGTACTGCTGGGCAATGGGAATGCTCACCCGCCATCACAATTAACTAATGCGCTCAACTCACACAAATTATCAACGAACACTACCAGGTAACAACCCTAAATCCGTAAACATGGGTACCCTCATAGATATCATCCTGACTAACTTACCCTCTAAATACACCTTCGCTGTCTTCAACCAGGATCTCAGCGATCACTGCCTTATTGCCTGCGTCCGTAACGGGTCCGCGGTCAAACGACCACCCCTCATCACTGTCAAACGCTCCCTAAAACACTTCAGCGAGCAGGCCTTCCTAATTGACCTGGCCCAGGTATCCTGGATGGATATAGATCTCATTCCGTCAGTAGAGGATGCCTGGTTGTTCTTTAAAAGTAATTTCCTCTCAATCTTAAATAAACATGCCCCATTCAAAAAATACAGAACTAAGAACAGATATAGCCCCTGGTTCTCCTCAGACTTGACTGCCCTTGACCAGCACAAAAACATCCTGTGGCGTACTGCATTAGCATCAAATAGCCCCCGCGATATGCAACTTTTAAGGGAAGTTAGGAACCAATATACACAAGCAGTTAGGAAAGCAAAGGCTAACTTTTTCAAACAGAAATTTGCATCCTGTAGCACTAACTCCAAAAAGTTTTGGGACACTGTAAAGTCCATGGAGAATAAGAGCACTTCCTCCCAGCTGCCCACTGCACTGAGGCTAGGAAACACTATCACCACCGATAAATCTACAATAATCGAGAATTTCAACAAGCATTTTGCTACGACTGGCCATGCTTTCCACCTGGCTACCACTACCCCGGCCACCAGCTCTGCACCCTCCGCTGCAACTTGCCCATGCCCCCCCCGCTTCTCCTTCACACAAATCCAGACAGCTGATGTTCTGAAAGAGCTGCAAAATCTGGACCCCTACAAATCATCTGGGCTAGACAATCTGGACCCTTTCTTTCTAAAACTAGCCGCCGAAATTGTCGCAACCCCTATTACTAGCCTGTTCAACCTCTCTTTCGTAACGTCTGAGATCCCCAGAGATTGGAAAGCTGCCGCGGTCATCCCCCTCTTCAAAGGGGGTGACAATCTAGATCCAAACTGTTACAGACCTATATCCATCCTGCCCTGCCTTTCGGAAGTTTTTGAAAGCCAAGTTAACAAACAGATCACCGACCATTTCGAATCCCACCGTACCTTCTCCGCTATGCAATCTGGTTTCCGAGCTGGTCATGGGTGCACTTCAGCCACGCTCAAGGTCCTAAACGATATTATAACCGCGATCGATAATAGACAGTACTGTGCAGCCGTCTTCATCGACCTGGCCAAGGCTTTCGACTCTGTCAACCACCGCATTCTTATTGGCAGACTAAATAGCCTTGGTTTCTCAAATGACTGCCTCGCATGGTTCACCAACTACTTCTCAGATAGAGTTCAATGTGTCAAATCGGAGGGCCTGTTGTCTGGACCTATGGCAGTCTCTATGGGGGTGCCACAGGGTTCAATTCTTGGGCCGACTCTTTTCTCCGTGTATATCAATGATGTCGCTCTTGCTGCTGGTGACTCTCAGATCCACCTCTACGCAGATGACACCATTTTGTATACATCTGGCCCTTCATTGGACACTGTGTTAACAAACCTCCAACAAGCTTCAATGCCATACAACACTCCTTCAGTAGCCTCCAACTGCTCTTAAACACTAGTAAAACTAAATGCATGCTCTTCAATCTAACGCTGCTGGCACCCGCCCACCCGACTAGAATCACTACAACAAAGCCTCCTTCACTCATGCTGCCAAACATGCCGTCGTAAAACTGACTATCCTACCGATCCTTGACTTCGGCGATGTCATTTACAAAATAGCCTCCAACACTCTACTCAGCAAATTGGATGTAGTCTATCACAGTGCCATCCGTTTTGTCTCCAAAGCCCCATATACTACCCACCACTGTGACCTGTACGCTCTCGTTGCCTGGCCCTCACTACATATTCGTCGCCAAACCCACTGGCTCCAGGCCATCTATAAATCACTGCTAGGCAAATCCCTGCCTTATCTTAGCTCATTGGTCACCATAGCAACACCCACCCGTAGTATGCGCTCCATCAGGTATATCTCACTGGTCATCCCCAAAGCCAACACCTCCTTTGGCCGCCATTCCTTCCAGTTCTCTGCTGCCAATGACTGGAACGAATTGCAAAAATCTCTGAAGCTGGAGACTCTTATCTCCCTCACTAACTTTAAGCATCAGTTGTCAGAGCACCTTACCGATCACTGCACCTGTACACAGCCCTTTTGAAATTAGCCCGCCCAACTACCTCATCCCTGTATTGATATTTATTTTGCTCATTTGCACCCCAGTATCTCTATTTGCACATCATCTCTTGCACATCTATCATTCCAGTGTTAATACTAATTGTAATTATTTTGCACTAAAGCCTATTTATTGCCTTACCTCCATAACTTGCTACATTTGCACACACTGTATATATACTAAGGTGTGGAGCACAGGTCAACTCAGGTGATTGAAGAGAAAAGAGTGAAGAATGTTTACAATACATAACTGCGTTAAAACAGACAACTAAACAAGCTACAATAAACCACCTCATTTAGAACCTTCAATCATAGACACCAGTCCTGGTGGGGCTTACCCCTTTGTTTTTGTCCATCACCCTGCCCAGGTTCTCGCGGACGGAGCTCATGACGTAGTAACGCACATCCTCCATCTCCAGGTACTCCTGAAATCTGGAGATTAGAAGCGCCATATCCTCCATCTGAGAGAGCAGCCTCTCCACCACTGCCTGTTAAGAGCAATGGATCGTTACAGATAGGCAAAATCTCAACTTTTCATGTGTGGCTCAGTTAGTAGAGCATGGCGCTTGCAACGCCAAGGATCATGGGTTCGATTCCCGCTGGGGCCACCCATACTAACAACGTATGCACGCATGATTGTAAGTGTCTGCTAAACAATTATGTATATAATATAATTGCTGCTAAATGGCATAAATACAGGTGGGTCCAGTTTCAAACTTGCCTCTTTAAATTAAAAAGAACCAGAGGCTGCCTGGTTCTTTAATTTAAAGACCTTTGCTTCCTTCGGTCTCAACGTAGACTTTGATCTGAAGCCATTCTTGTGACTATTCGTGATTTTGCTATTCATTGTAAATGTTTGTAGGCCTACAGTGAGGGAAAAAAGTATTTGATCCCCTGCTGATTTTGTACGTTTGCCCACTGACAAAGAAATGATCAGTCTATAATTTTAACAGTAGGTTTATTTGAACAGTGAGAGACAGAATAACAACAAATAAATCCAGAAAAACGCATGTCAAAAATGTTATAAATTGATTTGCATTTTAATGAGGGAAATAAGTATTTGACCCCCTCTCAATCAGAAAGATTTCTGGCTCCCAGGTGTCTTTTATACAGGTAACGAGCTGAGATTAAGAGCACACTCTTAAAGTGAGTGCTCCTAATCTCAGCTTGTTACCTGTATAAAAGAAACCTGTCCACAGAAGCAATCAATCAGATTCCAAACTCTCCACCATGGCCAAGACCAAAGAGCTCTCCAAGGATGTCAGGGACAAGATTGTAGACCTACACAAGGCTGGAATGGGCTACAAGACCATCGCCAAGCAGCTTGGTGAGAAGGTGACAACAGTTGGTGCGATTATTCGCAAATGGAAGAAACACAAAAAACTGTCAATCTCCCTCGGCCTGGGGCTCCATGCAAGATCTCACCTCGTGGAGTTGCAATGATCATGACAAACGGTGAGGAATCTGCCCAGAACTACACGGGAGGATCTTGTCAATGATCTCAAGGCAGCTGGGACCATAGTCACCAAGAAAACAATTGGTAACACACTACGCCGTGAAGGACTGAAATCCTGCAGCGCCTGCAAGGTCCCCCTGCTCAAGAAAGCACGTATACAGGCCCGTCTGAAGTTTGCCAATGAACATCTGAATGATTCAGAGGAGAACTGGGTGAAAGTGTTGTGGTCAGATGAGACCAAAATCGAGCTCTTTGGCATCAACTCAACTCGTCGTGTTTGGAGGAGGAGGAATGCTGCCTATGACCCCAAGAACACCATCCCCACCGTCAAACATGGAGGTGGAAACATTATGCTTTGAGGGTGTTTTTCTGCTAAGGGGACAGGACAACTTCACCGCATCAAAGGGACGATGGACGGGGCCATGTACCGTCAAATCTTGGGTGAGAACCTCCTTCCCTCAGCCAGGGCATTGAAAATGGGTCGTGGATGGGTATTCCAGCATGACAATGACCCAAAACACACGGCCAAGGCAACAAAGGAGTGGCTCAAGAAGAAGCACATTAAGGTCCTGGAGTGGCCTAGCCAGTCTCCAGACCTTAATCCCATAGAAAATCTGTGGAGGGAGCTGAAGGTTCGAGTTGCCAAACGTCAGCCTCGAAACCTTAATGACTTGGAGAAAATCTGCAAAGAGGAGTGGGACAAAATCCCTCCTGAGATGTGTGCAAACCTGGTGGCCAACTACAAGAAACGTCTGACGTCTGTGATTGCCAACAAGGGTTTTGCCACCAAGTACTAAGTCATGTTTTGCAGAGGGGTCAAATACTTATTTCCCTCATTAAAATGCAAATCAATTTATAACATTTTTGACATGCGTTTTTCTGGATTTTTTTGTTGTTATTCTGTCTCTCACTGTTCAAATAAACCTACCATTCAAATTATAGACTGATCATGTCTTTGTCAGTGGGCAAACGTACAAAATCAGCAGGGGATCAAATACTTTTTTCCCTCACTGTATGTAGCCAAATTGTATATTTGATCGTATGCTATCCATTCATGTTTTTTATATGTTCTATTTATATCTGTAAATTAACCAATGATATCAAGCCACACCAGGCCATGATTACATACACTTGTGTGTGTCCTTTGAAACTATATAAACTAGTGACCCACAGTGTTTGTCATTATACCCTGATGAAGATAGCTTGTCTGTCGAAACGTTGGTTATTAGGTTATTAAATTATTGCATCTGAGCTCCTTGAGTGTGCGGCTCTCCTTTTCTTTTTCAAGCTTAAATGGTGTAACATTTGCGCAAGGCAACAAACTTAGTATTTCATTGAAACCCCTACCTGGATGAGTTCTCTTGGGAAGCTGTAGTGTTCACTCCAGTCCAAGTCCTGGAGGGTGAACTTCCCTTCCATGGAGGCAAACTTCATCAGTGCACACAGGGCACTTTCCTGCATCGGAATAAATAGCATCATCACACCAATCACACTCAACATTTTACTAAATCCATGAAAATACATTTCACACACCACATGTCACTAATGATTAGGCCAAGGGTTTTTCTTTACCATGTGACCCAGCAGATCCGGGAAAAACACCAGGCCCTAATCATCATAGCTTCTGAAGTCGACCATCAAATAATTGACATATACATTACTCTTACAGAATTTCCACGTGGGCGAGGATATTGGGAATGTAATAAAAGCCTATTGGATGACAACTTATTTTTAACTAGGACAGAAGAATTTATAACTGACTTTTTCCGACATAACATACAGTGGGGAGAACAAGTATTTGATACACTGCCGATTTTGCAGGTTTTCCTACTTACAAAGCATGTAGAGGTCTGTAATTTTTATCATAGGTACACTTCAACTGTGAGAGACGGAATCTAAAACAAAAATCCAGAAAATCACATTGTATGATTTTTAAGTAATTAATTAGCATTTTATTGCATGACATAAGTATTTGATACATCAGAAAAGCAGAACTTAATATTTGGTACAGAAACCTGTTTGCAATTACAGAGATCATACGTTTCCTGTAGGTCTTGACCAGGTTTGCACACACTGCAGCAGGGATTTTGGCCCACTCCTCCATACAGACCTTCTCCAGATCCTTCAGGTTTCGGGGCTGTCGCTGGGCAATACGGACTTTCAGCTCCCTCCAAAGATTTTCTATTTTTTTTTCAGGTCTGGAGACTGGCTAGGCCTCTCCAGGACCTTGATATGCTTCTTACAGAGCCACTCCTTAGTTGCCCTGGCTGTGTGTTTCGGGTCGTTGTCATGTTGGAAAACCCAGCCACGACCCATCTTCAATGCTCTTACTGAGGGAAGGAGGTTGTTGGCCAAGATCTCGTGATACATGGCCCCATCCATCCTCCCCTCAATACGGTGCAGTCGTCCTGTCCCCTTTGCAGAAAAGCATCCCCAATGAATTATGTTTCCACCTCCATGCTTCACGGTTGGGATGGTGTTCTTGGGGTTGTACTCATCCTTCTTCTTCCTCCAAACACGGCGAGTGGAGTTTAGACCAAAAAGCTCTATTTTTGTCTCATCAGACCACATGACCTTCTCCCATTCCTCCTCTGGATCATCCAGATGGTCATTGGCAAACTTCAGACGGGCCTGGACATGCGCTGGCTTGAGCAGGGGGACCTTGCGTGCGTTGCAGGATTTTAATCCATGATGGCGTAGTGTGTTACTAATGGTTTTCTTTGAGACTGTGGTCCCAGCTCTCTTCAGGTCATTGACCAGATCCTGCCGTGTAGTTCTGGGCTGATCCCTCACCTTCCTCATGATCATTGATGCCCCACGAGGTGAGATCTTGCATGGAGCCCCAGACCGAGGGTGACTGACCGTCATCTTGAACTTCTTCCATTTTCTAATAATTGCGCCAACAGTTGTTTCCTTCTCACCAAGCTGCTTGCCTATTGTCCTGTAGCCCATCCCAGCCTTGTGCAGGTCTACCATTTTATCCCTGATGTCCTTACACAGCTCTCTGGTCTTGACCATTGTTGAGAGGTTAGAGTCTGTTTGATTGAGTGTGTGGACAGGTGTCTTTTATACAGGTAACGAGTTCAAACAGGTGCAGTTAATAAAGGTAATGAGTGGAGAACAGGAGGGCTTCTTAAAGAAAAACGAACAGGTCTGTAAGAGACGGAAGTCTTACTGGTTGGTAGGTGATCAAATACTTATGTCATGCAATAAAATGCAAATTAATTACTTAAAAATCATACAATGTGATTTTCTGGATTTTTGTTTTAGATTCCGTCTCTCACAGTTGAAGTGTACCTATGATAAAAATTACAGACCTCTACACGCTTTGTAAGTAGGAAAACCTGCAAAATCGGCAGTGTATCAAATACTTGTTCTCCCCACTGTAGGTACAGCAGATCCCCTTACTGTATGGGACACTTTTAAAATGTGCCTTTAGAGGCCATGTAATTCAGTACTTATCTTTAAAACAAAAGCAACTTAGGTCAAAAGAGTCCATATTAACAAAGGAAATGGAAGGACTAACAGTACAGATAGATATCAATAAAAACGGTACCATAGAGGCACAGAATAAGTTAGAGGAAAAACAAAGAAATGGAGGAACTTATTCAAGAAAGATCAAGTGTAATATGTTATAAAAAATAAAGCGAACTGGATGGAATATAGGGGGAAAATGCACTTCTTTTTATTTTTTTTATCTTCACTTGTTACAAATGATGGAGTAACCCATGAGTCACCAAAAGGTACTTTAGGCATATGTTTTTGTTTCAGTCTCCTCCATCTCCACTAACTGAAGTTAGTATGGATTTTTTTTCTATTAATAATGTAAAATTAACAGCGGTACACTGTAAGACTCATGTGAAGGCTAAATTACAGAGGAGGAACTTCTTGATGCAATTAAAGACTTTAAGTCCGGGAAAACTCCAGGGCTGGATGGCATACCAGTGGAGGTATACCAAACCTTTTTTGATATCCTCAGAGGACCGTTATTAGCATGTTTTAACCACTCTATAAAAATGGTAGATGATCAGATACTCAACAAGGTCTGATTTCATTATTACTGAAACAGGATCCAAGTGGTAAATATAAAGACCCAGTCCCAAAAAAAAATTGGAGGACCCTTACACTTCAGAGTTGTGATGCAAAAATTCTAGCAAAATGCATAGCGCATATAATTGAAAAGGTATTGTCGGATATTATTCATCCTAAATCAGACAGGTTTTTTTTACATGGACGATACATTGGAGATAATATATGACAAGTACTGGAAACAATAGAACACTATGAAAAATCTGGGAAACCAGGCCTGGTATTCATAGCCGACTTTGAAAAGGCTTTTGATAAACTATGACTGTAATTTATATATAAATGCCTGGAATATTTCAATTTTGGAGAATCTCTTATAAAATGGGTTAAAGTTATGTATAGTAATCTGGGTGTAAAATAGTAAATAATGGCTATTTCTCTGAACATATTAAACTGTCAAGAGGAGTAAAACAAGGTTGCTATTATAAATAGATATGCCGATAGTGGACAATCAAAATGTTAGCTATTAATATCAGATCCAACAATAATATCAAGGGGTTAGAAATCTAGGGCTTAAAAACAAAGATGTAATTGTACGCTGATAATTCATGTTCTTTTAAATCCACAATTTGGGTCCCTCCACAGCCTTATAGAGGACCTAGCTACTTTTTCTAACCTCTCTGGATTACAAGCACATTACTATTACGTATTGGATCACTAAAAAAATACAACTTTTACATTACCGTGTAGTTTACCAATAAAATGGTCTGACGGTGATGTGGACATACTCGGTATACATAGCCCAAAATAAATAAATGATCTCACTACAATACAATTTTATAGAAAGTTAGCAAAAATAGATAAGATCTTGCTACCATGGAAAGGAAAATACCTATTTATTTGTGAAAAAAATCAACTCTTTAATCATATCCCAGTTTACCTATTTGCTTATGGTCTTGATACACCTATCGACCTGTTTTTTTAATTATATGAGCAAAAAATATTCCATTTTATTTGGAACGGCAAGCCAGACAAAATTAAACAGGCCTATTTATATAATGAATATGAATTGGGATAACAACCTCTCACTTTCGGTTATTTGAAAATTAAAATCTCCAAAATATTGCTATTTTTAAAACAAGCCATTGAAAGTTGGTTGCAATTTCAGTTTAATCCACCAGAAAAGACAGAAAAAATACAACAACAAAGTGGTTAAACTAAAATATACTAATTACCAAAAAATTATTATAAAAAAAGGTATAATGATGTAAATGACATAAATAGGACTGGTGGAGTTGTCACACATGCAGCTAACAAAAATATATGTAAATGTCTGCTCTACCCAAAATTACAACCAACTAATTGCAGAACTACCGCAAAAATGGAAGAGGCAAGTGGAAGGGGGAAAAAGTAAGGAACTTGTCTGTCGGCCCTGATTAAAGACCAAAATTGGTTAAAGAAAATTGTGATAAATAAAAAAGTATACCAGTTTCATTTAAAGGACCAAAAAATGGACAGCTGTGCCATATAGATTGCAAAATAGTTGGGAAGAGATTTGCGATTTACCGATTCCATGGCACATGGTTTATGAACTGATACGCAAAACGACGCCGGATTCAAAACTTATAATATTTTAATTTAAAATTATTTTATGCAATTCTTGCAACCAATATAATATTATATATATGGGGGATACAACCATCCCAGCTCTGCAGAGTTTGCTGCGAAGAGACAGAATCATTACATCATTTGTTTTGGTACTGTCCATATGTAGCTTTCTTTTGGTCGAAGGTCCAGGAATGGCTGAAGAACTGCAACATTTACCTGGAGCTACTGGGTGATTTAAAAAGTAATAGTAAATCGATCAATAATATAATATATTTAGCAAAAAAAAGTATTTAATTTACAATCAGAACTTTTGTCAAACATCACAGCACAGTAGAAAAATATATGGTAAATATAAATCCAATATGGATGGTGTTAAGAGATGGGATGAGTGGAGCTGAACGGTGGGACGAAAAACAACAAGATACAGTTCATTCGGAAAGTATTCAGACCCCTTGACTTTTTCCACTTTGTTACGTTACAGCCTTATTCTAAAATTGATAAAATAATTCCCCCCCCCCCTCAACCTACACACAATACCCCGTAATTACAAAGCGAAAACAGGTTTTTAGAATTTTTTGCACATTTATTAAGATGTAAAAAACATAAATAGCTTATTTACAAAAGCATTCAGACACTTTGCTATGAGACTCGAAATTGAGCTCAGGTGCATACTGTTTCCATTGATCATCCCTGAGATGCCAAAAAACACCTAAAGGACTCTCAGACCATGAGAAACAAGATTCTCTAGTCTGATGAAACCCAGATTGAACTCTTTGGCCTGAATGCCAAGCTTCACGTCTGGAGGAAACCTGGCACCGTCCCTACGGTGAAGCATGGTGGTGGCAGCATCATGCTGTGGGGATGTTTTTCAACGGCAGGGACTGGGAGACTAGTCAGGATCGAGGGAAAGATGAACGGAGCAAAGTACAGAGAGATTCTTGATGAAAACCTGCTACAGAGCGCTCAGGACCTCAGACTGGGGCGAAGGTTCACCTTCCAACAGGACAACGACCCTAAGCACACAGACAAGACAACGCAGGAGTGGCTTCGGGACAAGTCTCTGAATGTCCTTGAGTGGCCCAGCCAGAGCCCGGACTTGAACATCTCTGGAGAGACCTGAAAATAGCTGTGCAGCGACGCTCCCCATCCAACCTGACAGAGCTTGAGAGGTTCTGCAGAGGAGAATGGGAGAAACTCCTCAAATACAGGTGTGCCAAGCTTGTAGCGTTATACCCAAGAAGACTCAAGGCTATAATCGCTGCCAAAGGTGCTTCAAAGTACTGAGTAAAGGGTCTGAATACTTATGTAAATGTGATATCTGTTTAGTTTCTTTAGTATTTGAACATAATTTTTACTAGGATTAAATGTCAGAAAAAGTCCCTGTCTTAGGTCAGTTAGGATCACCACTTTATTTTAAGAATGTGAAATGTCAGAATAATAGTAGAGATAATTATTTCTTTCAGCTTTTATTTCTTTCATCACATTCCCAGTGGGTCAGAAGTTGACATACACTCAATTAGTATTTGGTAGCATTGCCTTTAAATTGTTTCACTTGGGTCAAACGTTTCAGGTAGCCTTCCACAAGCTTCCCACAATAAGTTGGGTGAATTTTGGCCCATTCCTCCTGACAGAACTGGTGTAACTGAGTCAGGTTTGTAGGCTTCCTTGCTCGCACACGCTTTTTCAGTTCTGCCCACACATTTTCTATAGGATTGAGGTCAGGGCTTTGTGATGGCCACTCCAATACTTTTACTTTGTTGTCCTTAAGCCATTTTGCCACAACTTTTTAAGTGTGCTTGGGGTCATTGTCCATTTGGAAGACCCATTTGCAACCAAGCTTTAACTTCCTGACTGATGTCTTGAGATGTTGCTTCAATATATCCACATAATTTTCCTTCCCCATGATGCCATCTATTTTGTGAAGTGCACCAGTCCCTCCTGCAGCAAAGCAGCCACACAGCATGATGCTGCCACCCCCGTGCTTCACGGTTGGGATGGTGTTCTTCTGCTTGCAAGCCCCCCCCCCCCTTTCCTCCAAACATAACAATGGTCATTATGGGCAAACAGTTCTATTTTTGTTTCATCAGACCTGAGGACATTTCTCCAAAAAGTACGATCTTTGTCCCCATGTGCAGTTGCAAACCATAGTCTGGCTTTTTTATGGCGGTTTTGGAGCAGTGGCTTCTTCCTTGCTGAGTGGCCTTTCAGGTTATGTCGATATAGGACTCGTTTTACTGTGGATATAGATACTTTTGTACCCGTTTCCTCCAGCATCTTCACAAGGTCCTTTTGCTGTTGTTCTGGGATTGATTTGCACTTTTCGCACCAAAGTACGTTAATCTCTAGGAGACAGAACGCGTCTCCTTCCTGAGCGGTATGACGGCTGCGTGGTCCCATGGTGTTTATACTTGCGTACTATTGTTTGTACAGATGAACGTGGTACCTTCAGGCATTTGGAAATTGCTCCCAAGGATGAACCAGACTTGTGGAGGTCTACAATTTTTTTTCTGAGGTCTTGGCTGATTTCTTTTGATTTTCCCATGATGTCAAGCAAAGAGGCACTGAGTTTGAAGGTAGGCCTTGAAATACATCCACAGGTACACCTCCAATTGACTCAAATGATGTCAATTAGCCTATCAGAAGCTTCTAAAGCCATGACATCATTTTCTGGATTTTTCCAAGCTGTTTAAAGGCACAGTCAACTTAGTGTATGTAAACTTCTGACCCACTGGAATTGTGATACAGTTAATTATAAGTGAAATAACCTTTCTGTAAACAATTTTTGGAAAAATGACTTGTGTCATGCACAAAGTAGATGTCCTAACCGACTTGCCAAAACTATAGTTTGTTAACAAGAAATTTGTGGAGTGGTTGAAAAACGAGTTTTAATGACTCCAACCTAAGTGTATGTAAACTTCCAACTTCAGCTGTATAAACTGAGATCATGTGACACTTAGATTGCACACAGGTGGACTTTATTTACCTAATTATGTGACTTCTGAATGTAATTGGTTGCACCAGATCTTATTTAGGGGCTTCATAGCAAAGGGGGTGAATACATATGTACGCACCACTTTTCCATTATTTATTTTTTTGAATTATTTGAAATAAGTTATTTTTTTCATTTCACTTCACCAATTTTGACTATTTTGTGTATGTCCATTACATGAAATCCAAATAAAAATCCACTTAAAATTACAGGTTGTAATGCAACAAAATAGGAAAAACGCCAAGGGGGATGAATACTTTTGCAAGGCACTGTATTTCCTGTATATGTGTGTATGTATATACACATTTACAAAAAATATATATGGGGGATTGGAAATTATGCAGACAATTACATTGATGGAAGTTACAATATATCTGCAATATTAAAGCTGATCTACCCCTTACATTTGATAAAATAATATTTAAAATAAAAAATTTAAGAAGCAGCAGGCCTTTTATACTAGAGGCCAGAATTTTTCTACCTTGCTAGTCTGTCTGTGCTCTCTTGCAAACGTCTTATTAAATTGAGTGATGAGGAGTAGGCAAGAGCTCAAACTGATCTGGGACCAGGCTAGAGTCTTACCTCCTGGCACTAATATTGACAGTCAGAAAAGTCACTCACTTTAATCTGGTATGATTCATGGTTGATGTGTTCCAGCAGCTGCTCCAAACAGTCGTTGTAGCGGTGGCGCATGAACATGCAGTACTTCTCATCCGCACTGCGATCACCTGCCACAAAACAACCAGTCAGTCACTGGCATAGTCTCGGGACCCAAGCAAAATAAATAATATACACCTACATCATTCGTTTGCAGTCCAACTCTGTAGATGTCACTGACTGAACTAAATACTTTCCCCAATCAGAATACATATGCTGTCCTTACCTGGTGAGGAAATGCCATAACTACCTTTTTTTCTGGTTGCCAGATCTGGAGTTCCAGAGCGTAACGGATACTCACCAATTAACAGCTCTTCTTTGGGCAGTTGCCCAACATACAGGTCTCGCCTCTCTAATGATGTGCAGAACAGTTTACTACACCCATTGATCGCACAAACAACGTTCTTCTCTTTCTCTGACTGAGGATGAAAGTGAAGAGAATGTGCATTGATATCGAATATGGAATTGCCAATAACCAATACAACTAGGAGAGCAAAGTGAATATGAGGGTCTGGTTAGCTAGCTTTCCAAACGCAAAGATGACACGAACCACACATTAGGAGAACGTTTCTTTGAAGTTACATACATGAAGATACTCAAGAACATCGAACACATCGTTGGCATGTTTCCTGCTCTGAATAATCATATCTTACTATTGATGTCTATTTTGGGTGTTTTTATACTATCTTCCGTTGTGTTTTCTGAACTCACGTTGCGCCTCTTGGAAGTGGCCATCTTTTTTTCAGTTTTGGGTAGACTGGAGTACTTGATGTTCTAATTTCGCCCCCTTGTGGTCGGCGGGTATATCGTGCTGGGCATGGCCAAATAATATTCCAAGTCTCTCAAATATTTTAGATGTACAGTAATGAAATATACTTCCATAATTGAGAAACATCGAAATTGTTATCAAATACCATAATTAACGTCATGGCATGCCGTCTTCGACCGGTCTGTCTTCTCAAGCAGTGTTTGTTTCATTAATGTGTCAAGCTAACAAATCCTCCCAAATACAATATGTTAAATATTACTAAAAAGGATTCACAGTCAATGGTTTAAATTAAAGAACAAAATGTTTATTCAAATGTCTTAATTGTTGAGTAAATCAGTGGCATTATTGACAATGCATTTCCATAGCAAAACATAAGCTCATTCTTGAGAGATACAGCAAAGGGTGTCTTTCCACTCGCCGGAGACTTCAAAGTGCAGAATCTGAACCATTACCCTCCTCGTCATCATCCTGAAAATGGAAACAAGTTTTATGAGTTTTTAAAAAAAAGAGCGGGTGATGGCATTTCCCAAAAAGACAGCAGGTTTTATGAGTTCAAGTGTGAACTGCTCATAGTTGACGATTAAGCTACTAATGTTAAACATTTTGTCTTACAAAAACCAACAGGACTTACAAAAACAACCACTGACAATTTTACTGGCAAACATTATCCTGTTGTATTCACCCACCTGCCCCCTGTCCTTATCCTGAGCCCCTGTTGCAGTGGCCTCAAAGTCATGTATGGGCAGTGTGGCCATCCAGCTGGCCATGGACCCTTCCTGGCACTCAGTCTTCACAATGCTGGGATAGATGTGTTCCTCCTTGAAGGCCAAGATAGCCTGCTCCTCTTCAGTCCACTCCAGGCACTCATGGAGGCCGTCCCCACCGAAGCGCTTGTTGTACCTGTCAAAGTGCACCTTCTCGAGCACCAGGCCCAGCCCAGGGGCCTTGGGCACATCCACCTTCTCCTCGCCCCAACTTCGCTTCAACACCTCATCCCCAGAATAGCCCTTCACCACAGCTATCACCAGGCCAATCATCTTCCGGATTTGATGCATCATGAAGCTCTGGCCACGCACGGTAATCTCAGCGAACTCTGTGTCACCGCGCACAAAGGGCTCGCCACAGGTCATCTCTGTGATGTAGCGGCGGGCGCTGGGGTCCCGTGCGGCCTTCTGGGAGGTGAAGTTGTGAAAGTTATGAGTGCCCTTGTAGCTGCCAAACAGCCGGTTTACTCTCTGCAGTGTCTCTGGCTCCAGGCGGAATGCAGCAGAATTCTGGGTGTCATAGTCTTTTGGGGCGAAGGCCACTGTGGGGAGCAGGTAGGAGTATGTGCGGGCGTCACAGCTGTTTTTAGAATTGAAGCCCCCAGTCACTCGTTTCAGACCTACCGGGACAAAAAAATTAAATCACAAACTATGTCAAAACACATTGATAACTAAGAAGTAAGAATCCTTAGTTCTTTTTTAGATAAATTGTTTTTATTTTATATATATATTTTTTTTTTTAAGCCAATAGGCAGAATAAACAGCATTGGACAATTAACAATTCCATTGTCAGCCCACGTCCAACACATTTTCACATGAGAACTAAAAAGTTGAATCAATGACTTCCCAAAAGAGACCACCTAGACTTCAAGAACATATTCTTAATTCTGACACCATGGGCTTCCTTGAAGGTTTTAGGCTTGTCTCCAACACATTTAACTGGAAGCAGTGCGATCTCACCCAGCACTCTGATCTGTGGAGGAAGATTGGAGTTGATCTTTTCCTTTACGTCTTCAATCATCCATAGTTTTAGAGAGACCACTTGACCTGCTGCAGAAACACCCTGACACAAAACAAATGGAGCTGATCACAAAGCAAGGTAATAATCCATTTGTGTTTGAGGCCACACACAGTGCATGTCTTATCCTGTGCATGCCATTACTTCAGGTATAAAACATAGGTATGTAAGACTACTTGCTTAAGGGACGCATTTGTGCAGACAGCAACTAAGCCCTTTCCATGTTTGTCTCCCATACCTTGTCTGTTCTTGCACATCTTTGGAATGACATTTTTTTCATGTCATCTCCATGGTTGTCTGGGATGCACCCAGACTTAATCAGTGCTGTGACCAGCTCATCCTCAATGGTTTTGAACTGGGATGATCCAGCATTTCTCTGAAACACAAAACAGATTAAGAATTTAGAAAGTAGCAGGTAGATGGAGTAGCCATTTTGTTTAAAAACATCCCTCATTGGGATAAGATTTATGAAAAGATTAAGAGGGGTAATACCAACCTGCATACCATAGTAACCTTTGCCTGAATATGCCAAAAGCAGGACCACTTTTCTTTTCGGGTGTTTCCTCTCGTCACCAGTCTGTTCTACATCAGACTTAAGCTTTTTTCTGATGTGCCCATTCTCACCCGACTCTCCATTTCCCTCCTCCACTCGTTTCAGTGGCTTGGTCAGCACATTCCCTGACTCTTCGCTCATCATCCACCTTATCCCTGCACACTTGTAAAGCCAACCTGATGAAAACACAAATAGCTAGTGAGTGTAGGGCTGTATTTAATTGAAGTTATGGCATTTCAGCCCTGTTCATTCACTACCAGGGTAAGTGTGCACCTACACCTAGCTTCCACCCCTTTGATTTCACCTATTCAACTCCTTCATATCTGAAAATCATATCTGAGAAGGGGAGTGAAGGAAACCGGACGGGAGGGAACAATTTTCTGAAATTAAATCCAGCCTTGGGCTGAAATCAATACTTAGCACCTTCACCATAGGTACTCCTGAATCTAAAAGGTCTGGATAGGTAAAAACAATATGGTTAATCACTACAGGGGACATCCTTCCAATAATGTCAGATCTACAGGACTAACGTTAACTGGAGGAGGTGCCAACCAATGGTCACAGCTTAACATGTAACGCGAGTTAACATTAGAATACTAGCTACTGCAATATGGATGACTAACTCAAATTGACTTTCCTCCGAACTAGGTCAACTAATTTAGCAAAAATAGGCTTACCGTTGCTTTTGATACGCAACACTCGTGGACTTGCTATCAAGGCTCGAATTTTCTGCATTTCTCATGTCTTCATTGAATGCTAAGAAGTTTAACAGGCTAAAACTAGGAGATAGCTAGCTATCGTTACTGATTCAGCTAGCTAGCTAACTAAACTAGCTTCATCACACAATACATTTACTATGGTTAGCTAGCTAGCTACCATGACTAGCAATAAAAGTTTTGCTATAAGTTGGAAAAAAATCCTTTGCAGGAGACTCACGAGTGATCCACGAAAAATCGTTAAATACACGTCTTGCTTATAGCACAAAGTCGGAAGTTTATCCAGTTACGACATTTGTACAGTCTGACACACAAATGCAAGAAGAAACCCTTTTACAAGTAGCTAGCTATCTATCTATCGCTACACCAACACACATACATACACACATGGGCACGATCAACTTTGACCTTTCTTCTTCTTCGTGTGGCTTTCCGGCAAACTCTTCTTCTTTTTCTTCTTCTTATTCAGTGGGATTTATCGGCGGTTGGCATCCAACGTTATGGTCCATTACCGCCACCTACTGTACTGGAGTGTGGGCCAGAGACAGCGAGAAACTAAATCCTACCGGCCAGCCCCGTTGCTCTTAAAAAAGATAACAAAATATTTGAGCTATATCTAATGACGTTCTATTCAATATACTCTTTAAACTAATTTCCTGTATCCCCTTCTCCCTCATACCAGATCTCATCCTCTCTCTTTCCCTCTAATACTGCCAACACTGTAATAATAATATAATATGCCATCTTACGGTCATGTGTGCATACATCTTTACGTATGGGTGGTCCCGGGGATCGAACCCACTACCCTGGTGTTACAAGCGCCATGCTCTACCAATTGAGCTACAGTGGACCACTGTAGCAATACATGGTCCACAGTCTCTGTTTCCTGACAATAATCACACTTTCCTGTTGGATGCTTTCCTATCACATTTAATGTATTATTCAACTGGCTGTGTCCCACCCTTAATCTTGTAAAAATAGCCTCCTCTCTTCTGTCCCTTCCTGCTGTACTCCACTCCCCGACTTTCCATTGTACTTGAAATAAATGCCTTCCCTTATTATCTCTATTCCACTGCTCCTGCCATCTCTGCACCATCACTGTATATATCAGTATTTTTGCCTCTGCCTTGCTCATTGAAACTTCAACATCAACATCCCCACTACTAAGTGCTTGTTTAGCCTGTTCATATACTGCCTCGTTCCCCTCCACCCCCACATGGGCTGGGACCCTTTCAATCTTATCTGAAAACCCATCTGTTTAATCCTGCCATGGATTTGTAGCACCTCATAAAGCAGGTATTGTCTGCTATGTGACCTAAAGGACTGGAGACTCATTAACACTGCACATGAATCAGAGCAAATAGCTACTCTGTCTTGTTTGACTTCCTCCACCCACTGCAAGGCCAACAGTATGGCCATCAGCTCCGCCGTATATACAGCCAGATGATCTGTAATACGTTTCCTGACTTCCACCCCACATTCCTGCACTACAAATGCTGACCCAGTACGTCCTGTCCTTGGATCTTTTGAACCATCTGTGTAAATGGCCACAAAATCCTGATACACAGTTTCCAGACGTCTCTTAAATAAATCAGCTGGATCAACACCCTCCCTATCTTTCTGTAGTTTCTCCAACACTTCTAGATCAACTACTGGAGGCGGGAGTAGCCATGGTGGATTTACAGGAATAACTACCTTTGGACTAAACTCCCTTCCATACAGTCAAATCTCCTTTGCCTGGGTATTCCCCACCCACCCAAAGCTCGTGTTCTGTCTTCACTCATGTTCCCAGCATGCCTGTAAAATCCCTTTCACAAAACTAGACTCTTCAGCTGTGTTTGAATACACATACTTTTTATTTTATTTATTTATTTATATTTGTTATTTTTATTAACAACAAATCAATACAAAAAGTACATGGGGAACACAAGTATATATACATTTGGGCTAGGGGGTACAATAGTCGTCATACTCACCGCACTATTTGTGACGTATATTGAGTATGCAGTATGCTTATTTGTATTAGTATGGATATAGTTAGTATGTCAAAAGTTCCCGGAAGTCGTACTAAAGTATACAAGCATTGGACACTATTTCCGTGCTTTAAGAGACCATAATATGATTCTTCACAAAATGGGCGTGGCTGCACAACGTTTTCAGATTTGAAGAAAATGGCAGATAAAAATATGCGGCCGAAGTCCGACGAGAGTGGATACAAATTAATTGCTTTAACTAATTATGACAAATGTTAAGAAATGTAATAAAGTAATGACTTTTCAAAAAAATTACATTACATGTTATGTTGGCTGACAATTTGTTAGCGACACTATCCTTATGAACCGCATAGCATTACAGCAGTATGTACCGGTATGTTAGCTAGTTACCTAATGTTAGTCGGCTACTAATTCATCGAACTTGCTAGGCAGTATAGGCCATGTTCTCTCATTTGTGTCTGGAAATAGCTAGCCAACGTTAGCCAATTAGTTTGGGTGCTTGACTGCCGTCGTGAGGTCAGAGGACAATCTGACAATGCTCTGGATTTACGAATGGCCAGAGCGCACCTCGGAGCGCTCTCTGGCACTCCAGATTGAATTTACGAACACACCCGAATTCGTAAAATGTCTAGCTAGTCATGCTAACAAGCTAGCAAGAGGTTGCATAGCATCAGCATCAACTTCCAGTAGACAGGCGAAACGCTAGTATGCTCAACTGAAAGGATACCGTTCGCTTACAGTATACTAAAATGGACTAATAGTATGTAGTATATACTCATTAAGTATGAGTATTCGAACACAGCTTTCTTCTTCTTTGGGATTTGGTTGGCGGATCGCATCCAACTTTTACGTGCATACACCTCCACCTACTGTACTGGTGTGTGAGGCCATTAATGGCACACCTACATTATATTATTTGATACGATAATACAAAAATTTGGGAAAAGGACTATTAGTCCTCTAAAAAATATATAAATAAACGCCACCCATTTCACTATTCAACCCTATCTAGTCCTACTCCAGACCAAGAGTCTGACAGGACAATACACTACCACTCAACACACCCTGCAGCTGTTCAAAATAGTCCAAATTGGTGAAGTGAAATGAAAAAAATAACTTGTAAAAAAAAAAATCTAAAATCTAAATAATGGAAAAGTGGTACGTGCATATGTATTCACCCCCTTTGCTATGAAGCCCCTAAATAAGAGCTTGTGCAACCAATTACCTTCAGAAGTCACATAATTAGTTAAATAAAGTCCACCTGTGTGCAATCTAAGTGTCACATGATCTGTCACCTGATCTCAGTATATATACACCTGTTCTGAAAGGTCCCAGAGTCTGCAACACCACTAAGCAAGAGGCACCACCAAACAAGAGGCACCATGAAGACCAAGGAGCTCTCCAAGCAGGTCAGGGACAAAGTTGTGGAGAAGTACAGATCAGGGTTGGGTTATAAAAAAATATCCGAAACTTTGAACATCCCACGGAGCACCATTAAATCCATTATTAAAAAATGGAAAGAATATGGCACCACAATAAACCTGACAAGAGAGGGCCGCACACCAAAACCCACGGACCAGGCAAGGAGGGCATTAATCAGAGAGACAACAAAGAGACCAAAGATAACCCTGAAGGAGATGCAAAGCTCCACAGTGGAGATTGGAGGATCTGTCCATAGGACCACTTTAAGCCGTACACTCCACAGAGCTGGGCTTTACAGAAGAGTGGCCAGAAAAAAGCCATTGCTTAAAGAAAAAAATAAGCAAACATGTTTGGTGTTCGCGAAAAGGCATGTGGGAGACTCCCCAAACATATGGAAGAAGGTACTCTGGTCAGATGAGACTAAAATGTAGCTTCATCAAGGAAAACGCTATGTCTGGCACAAACGCAACACCTCTCATCACCCCGAGAACACCATCCCCACAGTGAAGCATGGTGGTGGCAGCATCATGCTGTGGGGATGTTTTTCATCGGCAGGGACTGGGAAACTGGTCAGAATGGAAGGAATTATGGATGGTGCTAAATACAGGGTAATTATTGAGTGAAACCTGTTTCGTCTTCCAGAGATTTGAGACTGGGACGGAGATTCACCTTCCAGCAGGACAATGACCCTAAGCATACTGCTAAAGCAACACTTGAGTGGTTTAAGGGGAAACATTTAAATGTATTGGAATGGCCTAGTCAAAGCCCAGACCTCAATCCAATTGAGAATCTGTGGTATGACTTAAAGATTGCTGTACACCAGCGGAACCCATCCAACTTGAAGGAGCTGGAGCAGTTTTGCCTTGAAGAATGGGCAAAAATCCCAGTGGCTAGATGTGCCAAGCGTATAGAGACATACCCCAAGACACTTGCAGCTGTAATTGCTGCAAAAGGTGGCTATACTTTGGGGGGGTGAATAGTTATGCACACTCAAGTTCTCTGTTTTTTGTCTTATTTCTTGTTTGTTTCACAATAAAAAATATTTTGCATCTTCAAAGTGGTAGGCATGTTTGTGTAAATCAAATGATACAAACCCTCCAAAAATCCATTTGAATTCCAGGTTGTAAGGCAACAGAATAGGAAAAATGCCAAGGGGGGTGAATACTTTCGCAAGCCACTGTAGGTATAGCGGTAAGGTGACTAGACATCAGGATAAATGATAAACAGAGTAGCACCAACGTATGTGATGATTGTATGTGAGTGTGTGCGTTTGTGAAGAGTCAATATGAATGTGTGTGCGTGCACATGAAGTGTGTGTGTTGGAGTGTCAGTGTGTGTGAGTGAGTGTGTAGAGTCCTGTGAGTGTGCATAGAGTCAGAGCAAAAAATATAAATAAAATAAAAGTGTCAATGCAGATAGTCCGTGTAGCTATTTTGTTAGCTATTTAGCAGTCTTATGGCTTGGGGATAGAAGCTGTTCAGGAGCCTGCTGGTGTCAGACTTGTTGCTCCGGTACCGCTTGCCGTACGGAAACAGAGAGAACAGTCTATGGCTTGGGTGGCTGGAGTCTTCAACAATTTTCCAGGCCTTCCTGATATAGAGGTCCTGGATGGCAGGGAGCTCGGCCCCAGTGATGTACCGGCAGTGGTGGAAAAAGTACCCAATTGTCATACTTGAGTAAAAGTACAGATACCTTAATAGAAAATGACTAAAGTAAAAGTGAAAGTAACCCAGTAAAATACTACTTGAGTTAAAGTCTAAAAGTGTTTGGTTTTAAATATACTTAAGTATCAAAGGTAAATG